AATGTGAGTTACCTGTTATGAAATCAAGCTATTGGACAAGCAAGTAACAGAACATAATACACAGCTACTCCTCACTTAACGTCATAGTTATGTTCTTGAAAAATGCCACTTTAAGCAAAACAATGTTAGGCGAATCCAATTACGTCACAGTAATTATCTACTAGCAGGCAGTGGCCAAACAATGTTATAACAACATTGCGCGACTTTAAATGAGTATGTTCTCTAATAGATCAGCCATGTAATAACAAAACAATGTTAACTGGGTTGAGGTTAAGTGAGGAGTACCTGTAAGTGTTTCTTAAAAGGGACACGAATGTGTTTTGGACACAAGTTTACTAGTTACATGGATGGTTACCCATGTGAGAACTCTGAAATTTCTATTTTATGGTTTTATTTTCTGTACATTTTGAAGCTAGCATAATGCAGTTTAAAGTGCGTATTTATACTATTTTAAATGCATATTTCACCATTTTAGAGCACAAATGCATGCATATTTGGGGGAGGGGTGCATCTCAATCCTATATCTACTCATTACATATGTGTTCAAAGTCCCCGAGGCATATTACAATGATAGTGCTTCTCAAACATAACAGAACATATAACACTGTGAAGCTGGTAACTAGAATATTTGGGAAGCCCCATCAAACCCCATCTGTAATCACAATGATACAAGGATATGGAATATATAGCAAGAATCGAAAGCATGTTTTCTACCATTAAAATCAAGTCCAAATATAAGAGCAATTGACATAGCTGCATCCCTTTAAACTACCACATTTACCCTCGTACAACATGCATCTTTTCCAAAAAAAAAAAAAAAAGAAAATTAGCCCTCCAAAAAAGCTGATTTTCTGCACCAGAACTGAAACAGGCAACGGTTGCTAAGGAGCTGTTATGGCTACCAGGACTGTCCTTCTTTTCCCAGTGTGAGAGGGAAGGGTAGAGTGTATGACACAGTTTTAACTCTTTTGTGGCTACTGCCAAATTGGCAGTGCTGTAGTTTTTGGCTCAGCTGCTACCTATTTGGCAGCGACTGTAAGAGGGTTAAATTTTAACTTTTACTTGAGTAAGGAGGTTCAGGAATCAGCCATGGGGTCAGAATTCAGCCATGACTCCGGAAGAATTAATTTGTTCTACATTCTGCCTAGCCTAAGCAAAGTGTGTGCCTTATCTGGGGGAATGCATATGAGAGAAACACAGTAGTTTGCTCTTCATTTAAGAACAAATCACAGTCCCTGTGCACAGCCTGAGCAAGCAAGCCCCTATCTCTGGGAATTCGTCAAGGACATCCTCTGAACTGCTCCCCAACACTAAAGTAACCTTCTGGTCCTGAGCCCTTTATACTTTCTGCAGTGGGGGAGACAAGGGAAGGGCAATGGCTGAAGGAACTGGATGGCTGTGGAACACTACCAGCCCTGCATAAAATGAGGCTAACCTCATACAGCTATTGCTAACAGCATTAGGGTTATTACAGAAGTTTTCACAGACAGCAAAATTATGTACTAGCCATTAATGAGAGGTAGAGAAAAGTCACAAGTTCCTTAATAAAGTTTATTTAATCATAACTATGCTTAGGAAAATACACTTGTAAGGGTTAATATAATGCAATTTAGTTCAACTTTACACTACATTTTGAACAGAAGACTTGTACATATTTTAAGTAAAAACAGGACTTGTGATCTGGTTTGTTTTACATCTATTACAAATGTATAAAAGGTTGTCATGCACTATAGTAGACAGAGAGCATGAAAAAATTACCTTTGGTTTAATTCAGAAAAAAATACAAGTATTGCACTGTAAAAGCTTCAAACATGGTGCAACAAAACATCATAAAAATGTTTCTGTGCCAGCTTACAAAAGTTTGTTAGCTAGTGTAATTTTAGGAAAAAGCATATGTACATGTGAAACAATTCCATTAGCTACCCGAATGAGTTAATATTGTATATAAACTGGGTATCTATAAAACCAACATTCTTGATTTTGGTTAACATTTTTCAGCTACATTACTCCGTAGAAATAAACATTATTGGGTGCTAAATGACCTGTCAGGGCTTTTTTGCTTATTATTTTTTTTAAAGGATTTAAATTCCAGTCTGGATCATCAAAATCCAGAAACAGCAACTATAGCACAATGGATTACAAGTTCCCGGTTCTCCACTTTTGAGATTATTTCATGTGGCAGTCAGTCTGAGCATGTATTTTCACAAACATTAAGGCCCTAAACACCATGTTGCTCTATATGGGATTGGCAGTGTGGGATACTGCTGTATGGGAAGCCTGCAGCAATCCCTCCAATCTCATCTTAAAGGCTGAATACTGGTATAGGCACTGTTGCCAAGAGAAGGCTTTTGACAGGGAAGAAGCTAGTACTGGCATAACTGTATATAAAATAATTTAAAGTTCTTGGAAAAGAAACACAATGTTGTACATATGTTTAAAGGGAGAGTTGAGAAATACATATTCAGAACACACAAGATTGGTTAACTATGTCTTACAGTCTATTTCAAATATTCATTAGCAATGTCTAAGCATATTGTTAGATATGAATGACACATTACATCTTTTTCTGATTTACTTTAACATACTCTCACATTCCTATCTTTATCTCTATTAAAATCAAAACAGAAAAATGGGAATTCCAACATGGTTACATACTGCTATCTAAGGTATTTCAGGACAGAAAGATCACATCTCTAATACATGTAATCAACATTTTATTTTTTCATCCTTAAACACATTTTTAGTTTCAAATTTTATGAGAAGGAATACTGCCTAATATAGGCATTATCCTTTTCAAACAGTTCTTGTGAGGGTCAAGTGTTTATGCTTGCCCATTCTCCAGCAATGTACAGCATTTTAACTTGGAGAAACATAGATTAGCTTTTATGTAACGGCAGATCATTTAATTTGCATTGAGGTTACTGCTATGTTTTTACTTTTATCTCAAAAACCAAGCTAGCCCAAAAACTGTATCTGCACATTGCTAAAGTCCTTGACACCTCTCACAAGACAGCAACCACTCTTTTTTAAAAAATATGAAGTGATCTTTTAAAACCACAACACAGCACTGGAATTCCCAGCCTCTGTTCAAATCTCTTACAAAAGATGCCAACAACTTTATATATAAGAAAACATACTGTTAACAAGAAAACTGCATCTAAGACTATTACAACATGTTGTTTAGGAAGACGATTCAACTAGATTTATTTTCTTAATGTTTTAACATAAATATAGTTGCAACTTGATCTTCAGTTGACAATGATTGTCACAGCCAAGGTAAAAATTGAATGCTATCTAATCAAACACAAACTCACTATACATTATACAATTGATTTCTGCCTGGTGGGATTTTCCCCACCTCAAATCTTTGGCCTCCCAATACCAATCTCCCTCATAAGCAGAAGCAGTGTATTCACTCTGTTCTCTATTCAATCAAGTTACAATACTGCATGCCATGAAATGCAGATCCCAGAACAGGCTAAAACAAGAAGCAAACAAAATAAATGGAAACTCTGCAATCCTGTCCCTCCCCATACCCGAGGTCATATTGAGAATCCTTGCCACAAAATATCCAGGCAGATATCACCATCCAGGGGCTCTACTTGCCTGCATGACATTTTCCTCCACAACTGCTGTAGAAAAGCAGGGCAGTGAGCAGTCAGGGTTATAAAGCTTGAGTAGCTGTTGCTTACCCCAAGAGCCAGTTTCCCCTTGAAAATGAACATAAAATGCTCATTCTCTTGCTGCAAAGATGAGGGTTTTTGCTTGTTTGGGTGTTTTTGGCAACTGGCTGGCACTTAGCCAGCTTAGTGATTGTGTGCCCCAGAAAATAATCTGCATCTTAATTTGGATGGATCTCTGTAGTCAGAATTTCTTTATATGACTCTCTTTGCATACGGAAATGAGTTTATAATCCAGCCACCAATTTATTTTCTCTTTAAGCAACTTTAGCGGGTCAGGTGGCTTTAGTTAATTAAACTTGAATGAATAAGGAACAGGAATTTCTACAGCTTTTCTAACTCCAGGTTTGTTGTTTACTAGCCTTTTTGATGCATGGGATTATGGATGATCCACACTTATGCCCGTGCTACAATTTGTTCTCTTCAGGAAGACTGAGTTACCCACATTGAAACAAAAAGGAAAAAATGAATCAGGGTTTGCAGAAGTATGCAGGCCATTTCCCCCTACACTCAATATTTCACTTTATGGTAATCCAAAATTATAAATGAATTAAAATTAATACTCAATTTACGTATTACAATACCAGAAGTGGCACTTCCATGAAAAAATACAATGAAAATGTTATGAGTATGATTACTGAAAATAGTGTTTTGAACTTGTATCAACATCCTTTTCCCACCAAACTACACAATTTTAAAGCTACTTAAAAATAACCAAACTGTTCATAATTTTATCAACTTCATGCACAATCAATAATACCCCACGAAAACAAGAAAAACAACAGCAAAGATTATCACAAAAACTGGCCCAGGGTAAGCAACGAATCTGAAAGTTTTGAAAAAAGGGGGAAAAAAGAGACATGAACAAAACCAAACGTATGTGTGTGTATGTGTGTGTGTATGTGTGTGTGTGTGTGTACACACACACACACGCGCACGCACACACACACACACATACACACACACACTCACACACACACCTCCACACACCGCACAAACTCTATTCCTAAAGAATTAAAAAATGCATAGGTAAGAATCAAAAACAATGTGCAATATATTAAGCCCTTAAAGCACAATCAAAAGAAGAAAAACAATCCCACAGCTTGCTCTCCCACAACAATGCCAATGACATGCTACAGTTACTACTTTATATATTTACCAAGATACAAGTTCTCCAATCAAAAACTGGAAATATTCCTTCCAAATTTTGGCTTACTGCTCACGATTAGGGGATCTGAAATGTATGTTCAGAATTATAATTATCTTCAAATGATTACATTTCTCTCTAACCAACTTGGATTTGTTTATCAAAGTGCTCTCTTTATGAAACAGAACCTGTCTGTAAAAAAAAAACAAAAAAACCCGAGTAGCTTAAACACTTAGCATACCACCATATCTTCAGATAATGAAAAACCTAAAACTTAAAATAAAATCTGGCTGCACAAATAAAAAGAAACTAATGCCTACTGTTCTAGAAAGATCTGACTTACTTTGGGGTAGCTATAGTCTGTTTGCTAATACTCCATTTATAAAACAATTGCATGAACTAACAAACTGGAGGCTTACACTGATTTAATACAATACAGCCTCGCACACCCTACTCACCTTCTCAAGAGATATAACTGTTAATGAATTCAATATTACATAAAAGTTGGCAAAAATATTTTCAACTTTAAAAAAGTCATTAAGCCAAATACTAATTAAAGCAGACGGCATCTCAAAAAAGATTCTACAGTAACTGTACATAAGCTGTATAAGATCTTACAGAAAAAAGAATAAACTTGCTACCCAACTGCAGTTCGGTTATTCCTGCTCCTTTGTTGCCTTCTCAAGGTAATACACGTTCACCAAGTGGCGATTGAGGTGCTTACTGTATTCGCCTTCTTTTTTAAACGAACGATCACAAAAAATACACACATAGTTCTCCTTTGCAACTGCGGCTTCTGCAGCTTCCTGCGATGCTTTTCTACTCGTTTCTTCCTGTACAGACCGAGCACCGTTTAACCCAGAATCATCGCTCCCTTCAGATATGTTGTCACTTATATCACTGCCGTCGTGACTGTGGATGCCTTCGTCCTCATCGATTTCCTGAGATTCATTTACTGCTGTGTTGTCTGGAGATGATAAAGCCAAGGCTTCTTTAGGACCCTGCTCACACTTTTCTGGTGCTGGCAGCGTTGGGGCTGGCTCTTCCGCAGGCAAGTCTGCCTTTGCCGGATCAGCTGAATCTGGATGTGTCACAGGTTCTGCCTCGCAGGCTTGTTCTGGCTCCAGCGGAGGTATCAGGTCTGGAACTGCATCATTTGGCACATCTAGGGTTTTTTCCTGGCTTTGTTCAGATGTGCTGGGACACTCCTCAGGGCAGGTGGCTTGCTTTTGGTCAGGTTTATTCTCAACTTCCTTCTCATTAACAGCTTCTTTGTTCTCCTCCTCTGCAACAGGTGCTTCCTGAACTTTCACCTCTAGCTCCACATTTTCCTCTAGAGGCTGTGGAGGAGGGAATACCTGGTCCTGGACAAACTCTCCATCAGGAATCCGGCTTTCTCCATCAGGGATCTGGCTGTCAGCATCAGCCAGGGCTGGAGCAACAGGGTCTTGCTCTGGCTGCTGGTCATCACTAGGACTGTCAGACTTCCCGTTTCCATCCTCTTCTGTGATGGGAGGCTTTTCAGGGGCTGCTTCGTCTGGGATCTTTTCCTGATCAGATTTACTGCTTTTTTTGCTATGCTTATTCTTTATAGCCTTCTTTTTCCTGTTTTTCTTAAGGCAAGAGTTTAGCTTTTTAGGTGCTTCTGATGTGACTTCGCCCTTTTGGGCTTCCTGATTGCTTCGTGATTTATTTTCTATCTTCTTTTTCTTTTTTGCTATTGTTTGTGTGTCATTTGCAAGATCTTGCTCTAAGGAAACTGATTCAACCTCTGCCTTTCTTTTAGTCTTCTTTGTTTTACATGATTTCTCTGCACTTTTCTCACTTTTAACATCCGCCTCCTTGTTTTCAGCAGCTGATTTACGACTTCTGGTGGTCACCTGACCTACACAAACATTGCTGGCTGACTTCTTTTCCTTTGATAAGCTCTCCTTTTTCTCCACTTTTACAGCTTTTTCATTTTTCTTTTCAGCTGACTCGCCTTTTGTTTGTTCTTTTTCTGTCTTGTCCTTGGCACTTTCAGAAAGTTCTGCTTCACTCTTTTTAGTCCGTAGCTTCACTTTGGAAACATCCATTGTGATATCAGAACAATCAGAATGCCTGGATTTGATGTGATACTGCAGGTTGCATTTCTTGGATGCAGCATAATCACAGACAGGACAAAGGAACTGACGTGGATTGACATGAAGCTCTACGTGCTTTTTGAAGTTACTTCGGTCAGCTGTCTTGTAGTCACAGTGTGGGCAGGTCAGAGGTTTAGGCCCATTGTGAACCTGCCTTGCATGACGAGTTACTTCATGCTGGTTTGAGGCAACATAGCTGCACTGATCACATTTAAATGGCTTCTCACCTGAGGAAGGAAAGAGGGCAGGGGGGTGATTTTGATTAATAAACTTGAAAAAACAAACACTTAATGCTATACAGAGATAGATGTGAATTAAAAATAACTTGGCCATGCTTATTTTTGAAAAGCCAATTTAAGAAATTCAAAATCACAATTTTATACTCACAAACACATTCACAAAAACACCAACAACAGTACAAAGAAAAGAGAGAAGGAGAAAAAAAACAGCAAAAACAAAAAGGTGGCAAGCAACAAAAAGATTGCACATTCTGTCCGTGGATACATACCCGAAGAGCTCACTCTATAGTAATATTAGCAAATGGAATCCATACCCAACCGGTCCATTGAATGCATAGCAGAAAAATGGAAATTGACAGTTGATGAACAGTAGTTTTATATAAACATTTTCAAAAACAAAGTCCAACTTTACAAAGATTTTGTAAGCTTCATGTGCATTGAAAGTAAAATGGAAGAAAACACATACTTATCCATGTCTAGCCAAGCAATAAAACATACATTAAAAGATAGTTTTCTGAAAACACCCAAACTATTTAGACGTTGATTAAAAATTGCTTTGCATTGAATATAATGTGCAGCACTGTATTTCATTTAATGTCTTGACCACTCTTCAGAACAGGAGGTCAATGATTTTCACTGTGCATCTATCCTATTACTAGGGTATTTGTAAGTTTGCAGCACTTCTTGTATAATGTTCTAGAAAATACCTTGTCTGCTAAGTGTTATCAGCACAGTCAACTTTACTATTTATATACAGGAGGCAAATGTGTAAAAATATTTCAATGTAACAATTAAAAAGCATTTTGAAAAAAAAAACCCCAAAATAATTACACTAATAAATAGCTAGGCTTCTGTATTCTGAACTAGTATCCAAAAACGTCTGTGTAATTAAATATATTGGTTACTTACTTCCTACAAGCCTTTCCTACACTACATTTTCACCAGTCATTTGAGGTATCTTGACTTAACGCGAGTCACTTCCAGCTACTGATCCCAAGCATAATAAAGGCACAATATCAACAAATCACAAGTACATAGTCTGACCTAGGACTTGGCCTCAGGCAGGGGACATGTTGAACACTTGACCCAGAAGGAGCTCCAGAAATTAACTGTAGCTGAGAAACACCTCTCTGAGGCATATTTCCCAAAGAAGCCTCCTTTCCTGTCTTGCACTGGGGCTGGAGGCCAATGCAATGTCAGTCTTCTATAACAGGGGTGGACAATTATTTCATCTGGAGGCCTGCTTAATGAGTTTTGGTAAGCTAACAGTTACCCCACCCCCTGGTTGCTATCTTGGGACCAGAAGTCCCACCTCTAATCCCTGACCTTTGCCACCAGAAGTCCCTCCCCTTGCCCCAGAAATATTCCTTTTGGGAGTGGGGAATGTCATCTTGAAAGTGGAAAAAAAATAAATCATACACTAAAAAAAAATAAATCAAACATCTACTATAACTTATTTTATTTAAAACATATTTTGTCCTGATTTATGTTGTTTGCATAGTATATCTAGAGGCAATTGCATAACAGCTCAAAATACATTCTTACTCTTATATATTGTGTGCGGGGAGGTAAAGGGGTGTATGTGGGGGCTGTGTGGTTGGGGAGTGAGTGTAAGGGTATAGTGGGATGTGGGGGGCATGTATGTGGGGCATAGGTATGGTGAGTGGGGTATGTGGGGGAGGGTGGAAGGTGGGTGTGAAGGGGTATAGTAGGGGTGGGTGGGTGTGGGGGGGCTGTGGGAGGGTGTGTTTTGGGGTATGGTGGGGGGTGTCAGTGTGTGTGTGGGTACGGTTCTCTCTCACACTGGTATCCATTCAACAACACTACCAGAGATGAGAAGCTATATTTCCTCCTACTTTCTGCCCACTTGCTTAATTCCAGATAATAAAGGTCATGGCAGCCCCCACTGCAACCACACCCAGACTTAAGATCCAGGTTGTTCTTAAGGACTGAGCAGGATGGTCTTTATAACTTGTACAGCTACACAAGACCCGTAGATAATACAGACAATAAAATGTAGCCATGAGGTAGAGTGATAAAAACAGGTAGCCATGTGAGAAGATACAATCCTCCTGATGAAGGCTGTTAAATAAAAGGTAAACTTCAAACAGCTGACTACTGTGGAAAAGCCATTGGGCACAGCAGCAAAGGCAATGGTGGAACATGATTCTAATGATACTCATTTTGGAAATGCTTAGTTTCCTTCCACAGGTGAATGTATAATAAAAATTGCAAAGCTAACTCCATCTATCCACAGCATCCTGCTGACATGCTTGGAGGCTCCTTAGATTTATAGGTCATCCCTGGAAATTCACTGACTGATAGAGGGCAAGTCAATGCGAGTCAGCCACTGAGGGGCCAGAACTAAAAAGAAGTCTCCCATCCCCTGGACTCTGACATACAGTAAGAAACAGCTCCCTCTTGGTGCCAGGGAAAGTCACGCCTGGCTTCTGCCAGGCATTGCAGCTGGAGGGCTAGGGTTACAGTGCTGAGGGAAAGCAAAATAACAGTAACAGCGAGTGACTAACCACCGGCACACCAGCTGATCAAATGCGAGAGGCAAAGTTTAGAGAAACAATTCTCAAATCCTTGAACAGCTTCTTGGAACTACACGAGAGGGATTTATTCTCAACTTGGCTCTGGGCAGCACAAAGAGGTTGGCTCAAGAAGTAACTGTAATCAGACCACTGAGTAAGAGTTACCACAATATTAATTCAGCACCACAGCCTCAGGGGACAGTTTACTTTTGTTACCCTTTTCTTTACTTGATCAATTCATCAAAGTCATTCCTTTCTAGGCACTTCAACCTCTGGAAGTACCTTGTCTGCAGTATTGGACAAAATGTTTGTTTCTTTCAAACATCTGCGATGAGAAGGATAAGGATATTAGAATTTACCTCAGTTCTCAAAGACTCTATTTGCTTTCTAGTAACTTAGCAGACTCATGGAATCGCTTCAGAGGCCTACTGCTTCTGAATTGCTTCAGGAATATTCTGGTCTGTTTATATCTTTGGTGCTTTGTTTTTTACGCACTGTAGCCTTCCTAACATCTATCTTACATTTTACCTACCAGAGTCTCAATTCTGTTCTATTGGCCCACCTGGGTTAAATTTCAGTTTGCAGAGGGATATGGATTTGGCTCTGATAACCTCCAAACAACTTTATTATTTAATTCATATAATGGTGTGTATCTTGAGAGGAGACTGTTCACATGCTTTGGGTTTTTTGTGCTTTTTAATTTCTGTCTTTAGAGGTCTATATTTTTCCCTGTTATTGTTTCACAGCACTAAATAGATTCCCACCCTGAGGTTAAAAATTCCCTCACTTCCAGCTTGAGAATTTTATCATCATCGTCATCCTCATCAGTGGTGCCTTGGGACAGTAACCGTAGGTCAATGCTTTTTTTTTTTTTTTTTTTAAATATTTTCCTCATTTTTTCTCTCCTCTTATCCTTCATAATCCATACAAAATTAATATCACAGTACTAGTACTAGTTCTGGTGACAGAATCCCTATACTCAGGAACCTGAACTTAATGGTCACTAACTATTCCCATTGTTTAAGGATCTGAGAGACTGCTTCTTGTGCCATGTCATAAGATGACTTACAACCAAGTATGTGAAAAGAACTGAAGTCTATTGCTGGTTTAATACATTTGGTTGTGTTTTATCTCCCTAAACACTGGATGATTAGAACATTTTTCTCTCATTTGAAGGATGTGGTAACATAATCTTATTCTCATACTTATATTCCTCTGATTTAGGATTTGGATCCTGCTCTTCTTATGGAGGCTAGAGTCAAAAAGAAATCAATACCAGGTTTGGGCAACATTTTTTTCAACAAATACTTTATGTGCCACAGCAGGAATGGACCAATCAAAACAATTCCTGAATGTTCCCCAAATTCAAATAACTCTGTCCAAAACAAATTAGATTAAGATTATTTTAATATTAAAATATTTAAAAAATTCAAAACATTTCATTCTGATTATTTCATTTTGAAATGTTAACCATCTTCAAAAGGTTATAAGTGCCCATAAATGACAAAAACCCCCAACACTTTAGGTCCAACCAAAAGTTTCAGTTGACCCAAAAAGCAAACTAAACATTTAGTTTAGGATAGAATGAAATGTTCTGATTTCACTTGAAGCCATTTTGTTTTTTTTAGTTTTGTCAAGAAAGAAGCAAACCAAAATAAAACATCAGCTAGTTCACAGAACTACAGGAAAGTAGGGCTGGAACAGACCTCAGGAGGTCATTTAGTCCAAACCCTTGTTCAAGGCAGAAATCATTGCTGACTAAACCATTCTAGACAGGGATTTTTCTAACCTGTTTTTAAAAACTTCCAAGATGGAGATTCCACAACCTCTCTGGGTAACCGGTTCCAATGTTTAACCACCCTTAAAAAGGAGAAAGTCCTTTCTAATATTCAAACTAAATTTCTCTTGCATCACTCTAGCTAACATAGGTTCTAACAGAGTAAGTTGTGTGGGTAAAGCTCCACTGAGGTTTTCTATTATGCTTTTGACTACTATCTCAATACAACAACAGCCATGTAACAGAGATATTACCACTTAATTCAAGCAGGATTTGGAAGAGAATGAGACCAGGACACAAGTATAAAAAGTTTCTGAGAATGCAAACATGACTTTGCCAACAAACAGTGGATTGAAATGAATATTAATGAAGATTGCTAACTTGTTTTTTAGTCCTACAAAAAATGTGAGTAATCATTCCAAGGGATTACTCGCTTTTCTTTTTGCAACATTGTAAATCAGGGGTGTTGAACATCTGGCCCATGGGCTGGATCTGGCCCACAGAACCAGGTCCTCCAGCCCACAGCTTTGATTGAGGACTTTTCCTGGGCAGCAACCAAGTGCCTAGGTAAGACCCACAGTGCTGGAGGGAGCCCCAGGAGCCTTGCAGCATGTTCCCATGGCAGCAGCCAAGAGCCCCCAATGCTGGGCTTCTTCCTGCAATGTTGCTGGGGC